ATTATGTTTGAAATTATGAACATTGCTCAACATCATGAAAATTAAACCTTATTTTCAATAAGCAATCCTGAAAAATATTTGGGGGTGCTTAACTTTTTTCCAGGTGTATATTATAAAGCAATTTCCAGCACTTTTTATGAATAGACATTGACATGTTAGAAAATTGATTATCCTAGATCAGTGATTCCCAACCTAAGAAAATAAAACTGGGTCTATGGTAACTTTTTCAGCTACTGCATTATTCTAACATGGTAGTAACCTTCCTACTTTCATCATCATTGTTTATTTTTAAGCAATTTTCAAATTACCCTGTCTTTCATATGACAGGCCTCTTCCAAAAATCTTCATTTCCACATTTGGGGAAAGAAAAAAAATATTTTTTTTTAGATTACTCCAATTTTATTTTTAAAGATAATCCAGACATTTCCTACTTTGGTCAATATAAGTTCCTAATGTTGACTAAATACTACCATACAGTCTGGTCGCCATTATGTTTGTTTTTAAGTATGTAGAATGCCTCACTGAACTTCTGTAAATGAAATAAATTGATAATTAAACAATGAAAATATGTTTCACAATCACCAGTAAGGGTTAGTTTTTATTTATAACATATTGTGATTGCAATTAGAATTAATTAAGTAGCCACTTTATCAATTTATGTATGTTTTATGATTAGGATAAACATAAAAATGAGTCATCTGACTTGATAACAGTTTTATTTTATTTGGTGAATATAATAAAAAATATGTTTACAAATACCACAACTCAATAAAAATCGTATATGGATTAAAAAGTAAAAATACCAACAAGATACCTTTATTTAAACCTTAAGCAATTTCCAGTCTTGTGTCTTTATAAAGTTTTCATTACTTATTCAACCCACCTCTAAACTGTATAAGCTTACCCTATCTCAAGTTATCAGACGTCTTCTCATTAAAGAAACTTCCTGTAGCTTTTAAACAGATTTAACTTATACTTTTACAATTCACAAATGAAAGTTTATAGAAACTATAAAGAAAAAACCTTAAACCTATATATTTACTCCACTAATACATGATAGTCTAATTTTTGCTCTATCAAACCATTTGACGTGGCAAAATAAGGTTTCAATCAAGGGATGACAAGTTATTAGCAAAAATAAAAGTAATTGGTAAATGAATTTGTTTTTTAAAACTCATGGATAAACTAATACTTAGAATTATACACAGATTGTTCTTTATGTTAAAATACTTTTATTTGCAAACTTTTGCACCTCTTACTGGAACCTTTATCAGACAACAATGTACTGAGCAATACAAATTAATTTAACTGTGAAATACTGCTTTAAAATGGGTGTCTAGGCAACAATAACTGACATTTTGTATTAAAGCTATTAACCATATAGAAATTAAAAGTCAAATATTTAAGTATTTGTATAAATAACAAAAACCTTGGTCTTTGTAACTTTTTAACAGTATGAAAACCTTATACACATTGTTGCTTAACAATATTCAAGATAAATCAGTTATATTCAATTACTTAATTTATTTTAAATATTGTTATGATTATTGCCTTGATATCTGTTTTAAAGCAGTGTTCCACAGAGAAATGAATTTGTATTGCTTAGTACATTGTTGCCTGATGAAGGCTTTGGTAAGAGGGCTGAAAGCTCGCAAATAAAAGTGAATTGTTTTGTTTACAGGCAAAACTCTTTGGAGCTGTGCAGAAATGAAAATAAGAACTTTTTTTTTCCCTTCATAAAAAACACTAAACAAGTGTCAGAAAATAACAAAATACTGACACCAAAATATGTTTGAGTTAAAACTGTTGAAATATAGTTAAAAATTTACCTTAAAATTCTTCTCAAACATTTATTATAAAAGGTAAAGTCCAAAGTAATCCTGCCTTCAGGCACAATAATTCAGAATTAGATTAGTTTTTTCAATCTTAAATTTTGCACATGGAAATATATCACACAAAGCAACTGAATGTTTAACATTTAGAAACAAAAGATTGTTCACTTATCAGTTACCTGTTGGAACACTAAAATGTACCTTTCTAGACTTGTTACTTCAGACAGTTCAATGTGGTTTTACATGTTTATGACAATGTTGGGGCCTTAAATGTTGTATTTATAACTACACAGTTACTGAGGTGCTCTGTAACCAAACGAGAGAAATTAATAACTCATTTTATTCATAAAAGCAAATGAGTAAAGATTAAAACATCAAATTATTTTATAAAATAAGACTTGATAGTTATAACTTTATCTTACAAAGTTTGAAAACCATAAGGGAATGAATAAGAATAAAACTAGAAAGTATATTCAGAATATTGTGTTACCATATTAAAAAGTAACACGTTTAACCTCTCCACACTAGCTTTACACTGACGGTATGATACTGGTTAACAAAGTAATTGTGTAACACTGTAACCAAATTTTCATTATTTTTTACATGAAAGAAGAAACTTCCACTTTATAATCACATAGTATTTTTGATAAATCAACGTTGACTATATCAAAGTTAAAATTATGTTAACTAAATTATGTAAATGATTAGTTGAAGTTATAATCCAGTGATTTCAAACCCTTTGTTCTCTTGAAGAAGAACAGTCAACTATTCGAAAGCGCTCAAGTTTTAGGTCTTATTTTAAGTTTATTACACTTAAAATGTGATCTTTTGTGCTAACTCTTTTATCAAGATAGAGAAAAAAATATATAGCATTGGTAAACAAGATGCATGTTTTCAAAAATCTTTTTAAAAGACAGTCATTACTTGTACGGTCACACCACTTGCACTTATTTCACATGTAAACAACATGAAAACATCTTTCTCATGAGAATTCTAACTTCAAATCTATAAGAAAAGATAAGAGCTGCAGGTGTCCTAAACAATACTAACTTTGATGAAAACAAATCTCTAAAGTCTAGACACATTGTTAGTATCTACAAAAACCCACGACACAAAAATTTACCATGGCAATATATGATTAAAGCTCCCATTGTTGATTAGTTGAGAAATAATCAGTTATTGCCTGAGGCCTTAACTGAATTGCAGCTGTGTTTCTAGAAAACATCAAAATAGCTTTTATGATAGTTAATAGTCCAATCAAATAAAAACGCTGACATGTAATGTTTCTATTTAGTACTATATGTTAGTGTAAGGATGTCTGGTTGTTTTTTATTAATTTCTGAAGGAAAAAAAATGGGTGAAGGGGGGTTTAACATCCTTAATTGTTAATTTATGGTAACAATTGATAGAGGGGGAGGTCTGGGCCCCTCCTCTAGATTCATGTCTGTTTATACAACAGTAAAGACTAGTTATACACTATTAACATAACACAATGTAAAAAAACGAAATGTTAAATTTAAACTTTTGACACTTAAGTAGCCATAGAATTGTTTGTGAGTGCTCCGAGCCAATTGCCTTCTCTTTAGTCAGCAGTTTGAAATTAGTGATAGTGGCAGATAGTCTGGATAGTTTTGCAATAACAAAAACAAGGTGAGCAAGTTAATTGACAATGGGAATCAAACTCGAGATTCTCAAATCACAAGGCACCACCCCATTATATAGCTTTGTGCTTAACAAGCAAGCATGTTAGCAATATTTCGATTACCTGGAAAGTTGGAATAATCAAAAACACTAACTTTGATTAGTTGGTTATTTTTGTAACAGTTGATCTACTTGTAATTTCAGTTAAGAGATTGTTGGAATAATCATAACAACTAATCTGGATTAGTTTATTATATATTTCCAATAACTGATTTAACCATTTCAATTTGTTGATTAGTTTGCATAAAACTAATCCATGTAACTGCTGCTCATAGGTATTTAATTAATCAATTAAATTGCCCATTTCTACTTGGTAAGTTACTAAGGTATTTTATTAGCCATAACTCATCATTACTGTATTGTTGATTCACCCTTGAATTATTTCTTTTGATTTACCTCTTTATGAGTATTAACTATTAATTTTTTTAAACAAATTATGCTTCAGGGATATGCCACTTGCTCAAAGGTCCGACTGTTGATATACGACATAAAAAAGATTCGGAATCATTAATTTAGATTAACAAACAGCATACTCTTCCATCTTATTCCAAGATAATACTACCACTAATTTTTTGTTTGAGTAGCAGAAAAAGTATTAAAAAACAAACCTATGTAGAAAACATTATGTGTATATATATATTTTCCAGTCAACAATATATTAACTTCACTTTTGTATCTGAAAATATATAACTGCTTAATACTGGAAAACATAGAGATAACCTTTATGACAGGCTGTTACAAACATTTTCCTGAACACTTATTTCAGTAAATTACATGTCCTAAAATGTTCATATTAAACTATAAGATACTTTAATATAAAATCTCTTTGAAACTTTATTTGGGCATGACAGGTGTTTTTATTGACTATTTTATGCCATAATTACACGTGTACATAACCTGTACCAAATACTTTAGTTATACAGGTGTATTTCAATGGTTAAACAGGAATCATGGATAGTCCATAATTTGTAAAACATAGAAAAAAAAATTTCAATTGTTAAACACATTCAGGGAGAAATAAAAAATTTAATACATGGAACCCAATGTATGCACCACAAACATTATATGAGCCTATCAAGTTGATATTTCAGAGTAAGTTAACTTGTTTCTGAAATGAAATGGAGCTGATCGTTCTAGCAAGATGAATATTTCAATAGATATTAACTTCTTAATAATAACGCATGGCTCCTATCTATGTCTACTTTTCAAGACTAATTGTCCAGAAAGCTAAGACAGGATTAATCTACAAAACTGTTCTTATTTTCTGAGCTTCCATAAAATGTGACTTTAGATTGGTTTAATGCATATTTTAACATTTTTAAAACTGAAAATTATCAAGAGTATGGCCAATTTTTTTTATCTAATATCTTTATCAGAAGTTAAACTTTCATTTTCAGTAAAAAAATCCTCTATAATATAAGCAACAACATTTTAAACATTTAATTCTTATAATATATTTGCCAGAATAATGGAACACAATGTTCTTACATGTTATTATTCTGAAAAGATAATTTTGTTTTTATATTCCCATATCCAAAAAACTAAAGACATTTAACTTTGTGCTTTTTGAGCCTCAATAACAGTATTGTACTTCTGGTAGCAAGATAGTATTGCTGTTGTTGTGTGTTAAAATATTAAATCATAGCCACTTGACTCAAAGTTAAAAAACAAACTTTAAGAAATAATATATATCAAATGATAAAAGATATTGAATTTGTATTCACAGAAAATAATATTTTATTACTCTTCCATTCCAGAATATGCTTTTAATCCTTATTCTATATGTATAATGAACAGGTCTGTGTTAATATTTAACACACAAAATAAATAGTATGTATCATGCGTAATAAGTACTAAAACATTTTAAATAAGGATTTTAAGTATCAGCACAAAGCGTCCTTCCTTATTTCTTTGATATTTTATAATTTCTGTGGTTTAAGGCTTGTTTGCATGTTAAAAGAAAACAGGTGGAACTTTTCAAGTGAAAGTATAATCAGCAGAAAAGTAACATTCATAAATGTAAGAGATGCCTTGACATGTATAATTTAGTACTTCAAAAAACTTGCAGCTTTTGAACTTCCCACACTACGAGTGCTATAGAATTCCTCTATTGTTTAACATATTAATTTGAAAGGCTAAGTTCATGATAAAATTATGATTCATTTTAAATATATTCAAATTATGATCACGGAATCTAAGTTGGAGAAGCTCTGACTCGAGAATGTCAAATACGAATTTTGAATCATTATTTATTCAAATGTCATCCCAACACTGCCTTTTACTTCTTGTCACCACATAACATAAATTCGGCTAATAATGATGTACTGAATGTGACCATGACACAATTAAATGACTACATAATTAACATAATGTTAACAATTGACCATCAAATGATCACTTTACACATCAACTTTATCACGAATAAAACTTCCCAAGGAAGAAATATGTAAATGCCAAAAATCTTATGTGTTACTTCCTCACAAAATGTACAAGTTATCATGAGCCCTGAAGTAGAATAAACAGCAGCTTCTGTTCTTGTTGTATTATGGTGAACCTACGAAAACAAAACTGACAGTTAACAAATATCTAAACTTTTGTAAATATATTATTAAAAACTAAACATCTTTGGCTATAAACAAATTAAGACAAGTTGCTTAAACCAAAATCTCTCAATTTTAACCTTAATTCAAATTATAATTAAATTACTTATATTTCCCCAAAAGGGGGCCAAAGGCTGCTTGGAGGGGGTCACCTATTTTAACCACTTCACAATAATAGTGTTCTCTGTTAGTCAGTAGACACTAAAATGGCATCACATAAGGGACGTTTAATGTTGCAATTTGTAATATTGTGATGTCAGTAAAACGTACACATGCCACGAATCATGATTATGCTCTCTGTAGGCTACAACACAGCATAACATATGAACTTCAAAAGCAAGAAATAAAAATATTTGTTACTCTTAATTTGGGTTTTATTTACTCTTGAAACATAACACTTTCGGAGACCCTGCAGAAGTACATTTAGTTTATATATATATATGTATGTATGTATGTATGTGTGTGTAGATAAATAAATATATAAGCCTAAAATTGTACAAAATAATAAAATGGCTTACATGGGAATTGTTTACACCATTCAGTGAAACAAC